GTAGCTGTTATACGCCTATTTGAAGAAATGTTATATGTTGTAAATTCGCGATCGCAGCTTGAAATTGACTCACTCGCAAACGTTCTATGTACCATAACTTTTGCACTGCATACAGTTTTAATTCCAGATTACTCTGATACAGTGATTTACATTGTAACGTCTCAGCTTACAAAAAAACTTGCTCCCCAAAAGGCACATGAAATATTTTCTATTTTAAAAACTACTTATTAAGTAGAAAAATGATTGCATCAAACAAAATCGGTACACACATATACATAAGTTTAACAAGCATTATCATAGTCGGTTAAGAAATCTAAAACATTTTTAAAAAGCTGTTTTCTCCCTTAGAGTACCGAGATTTATGCCAACAATAGCGGCATGTTTTTTCTCGAAATTAATCATGAAACCACATTTGTGGTTAGTGACGGAGCACAGTAAGTTAATGTCTACATCTGGTTACCTGTAATACTTAATAACTCTTAGAATCATTTAAGAGTGGCAACAAGATGCACATTAGTGGGAACAGTGTAAGTATAAATTAATGGTATTTATATTGAGATGGGAGTTTTCTGATAACGTAAACTACTCAAGTGGGCAATGAAAAAAGGCCTATCCCCTTTGATCTTACTTCAAGCAACCCCCCTCTTTTCTCCTGTTCCCGCCACATTAGTCTCACTGATGATTGGACCAAATTTCCATTTGAGGGAAATTTTTCTGAACTAACTTCTCTTTCAACCACTGGAAGCACCGGCTGCTCATGACCCAAGAATAGCATTCTAACCTCGTTAATATCAGTACAGTCGAACAAAATCGATGAGGAAGCAATTTTTCTTTGTTTTCACGAGAACATCGTTGTCAGGAAAATAGAAAAATATGCACACCAATTAATTCACACAGCCAAAATTTATGTAAAGAAGTCGCTTATCTTGCTCTGTTTCACATTACTTAGAAGGAGCTTGATGGCTCGAGACTCGCAGCTTCTTTGCACAGCTGCATTGTCATCATGGGCACTGAAGAAAGTGTGAATGTTACAAGCGTCAAGAACTTTGCACGAACTTGCCTTTTTTAATGTTTTGTTCTATTAACTCTTGTCATCACTCTCATATTCCTTGTACACACTGATGATAGTGTTGTCGCTGAAATTTTCAAGCAATTTTCAATCTTGTACACTTTTCGTTCTCAGCGAAAAAAAAAAAAAGATTGTGTTGCTATCATCATCATTCGACTGAATGTAAAGAGAGAAAAATAAACTTATTGTGGTCCTGTAGAAAGGGGTCACAGGGGCAAGGCCTTATATGGACCTTCAAGAGTCAGTTCAGCGGCGCCGCCAAATGTTGACTGCAAAGGTTACGCCAATGCTTATTGGCGAAAACGTATCTGCCCGGCTTGCTGAATGAGCAGTGCTGCAATTTTTTAGCTTCAGGGTTCCAAACTAGCTCATGGGTTGAAAGAAATGTAATGGGTCACAACCTGAGACTTTCAATATAGCGGGAATGGTTTTTAAATATCTTTGATTTCAAGAGGGCGTAAATGCACTGATTGCTATGGATGTTGCTGGAGACGCCACATTTCTTTGTTGCCAGTGAGAAATTAGTAATTGAAGGATTTCATTATTAAAGAAGTGCATATATTATGAGCACTTGGTTTACTTCCTCTTGTGACATCTTACCAACATATCTATGGCTCACTCTGTTGCACAAAAAATAAAAATTTGCTTTTTTTTTTGTTTTTTGCAATAGCAATGCTTTACAGATGTGATTCACATTTCAGTGTAGTTCAAAGTTTCATCTTGTTAAAGGCCAACTCCAGCATTTTTTTTTCCTGGCTTAGGAGAAATTTGGAAAAAAACTTAAATAAGCACAAAGATATAAATCTGAAATCCAGCCGAGCAGTACTGTCCTTGTGTGACTTTTTAAGGGACACAAACTAAAAATTGAGCAAGGTATGTCGGTTTGGCAAGTACAGAGGCAGAGGATGGAATCGGCCAAGAGCAGACACTCGGTTCAAACTAGGCTACACCACACCATCGGTGCGATGTCTTAGGTTGAAAAGAGTCTTTTAGCAGCACTAACTCACTGTATGGAATTCTTTTCATAAAATATACGGTGGTCTCTCTGTGCATGGTAAGCTGCGCATTGTGTACAACGTTGCTATACTCGACTTGTGGTAAATTTTGTTGACCCTATCGCTGCTGACATTAATGTTGCTGTGTGCAAACTTGTGCATTCTTCCTGTAAGAATGTAAGTCCCACACACTTAACATTGAGCATTGTACCTACATACCGGGCTGTATAGGCAGTGATGTCTGACAGTCGAGAGATAAACGAGTCAACCGCATAACATAAACAAATGCATTCTGCATCATTGCTGTTGTGAATTACTTAACTCCAAATATATTAACTTTAAGGCTTTGTACACATCAAAAATGCTGCATTCCTAAAATGGCTTTACTGGCACTCTCGTCGCTGTGGCAAGGACCTGTGTGAAAACTAAGTAGGCAGTTTAAGGTAATCTGCACATTTCTTAAGCCTGCTATTTTGTGAAAATGACAGCAAGTGCTCAGAAGAACTTACCCAGTGATTACTGAGATTCATAGACCTCGAAAAATCTCTGTGGTCTGCCTTGCAGTGCAGCATTTATTTCATTGAATAAATAATTTGTTACTTTTCTCGATATTTTTGTTCTCTGTTTAAAAATTTCTCACATTCTCCCTGCATCAAGCAACTGTTTGATTGATGTTTCTTGTGTGTTCTGCGCAGACATAACACTGAACATGCTGAATGCAACCTGAGACGGAAGTAGATGTTGAAGGACTGGGTGGAACTGGCAAACTTGACTACGACAGCTCCTCCTAAGGTCATCACCACCGAACATCATTCACAAGTTCATGTACAAATCATATCTCAATGCAAATGAAACTCATTAGTGATCAAACATGTAGCCTCTGTTTGTCTCAAAATTAAGAGATCAACATTTGTTTGAGCAAATAATACACATCTAAGGAAGATCATTGTGAACTTACAACATTATACTTGAGCTACTCTCAAAGTCATTAAAAGCCTTGTCTTTTACTGATTCCGAGTAAGACATGGATATCTTATATGCCAGTCTAAACAGCCCTTTTACAAAAAGTTGGTCAGCAGCAGTAGGTGGGCTATAATTCTTCCCTTTTTTCTTCTCATGTGTGTGATTGTCCCAGCTCTTCTTTGGGTGGCTAGGTTTAGGTGTACATTAAAGAAAACCAGGTGGTCAAAAGTTATCCATGTCCCCCCACTATAATGTGCCTTATAATCATATTGTGATCTTAGCACATATAGGCCAAGCAATTATTATTCTTTCTCATTTTCTTTTCCCTATGTTAGGTAATGTCAAGTTCAGTTAAACTCAGTGCTTCACCCTCACTTGTATCCAGTCCCCTCATAGAGCAGTGAAAAAAAAAAACTATTTCTCATGCAATCAAGTTTTTCAATACAGTGTCTGCCTTTACAGCAAATTTAATCCTCTTGGTGGAAGTCAGCCTTAAGCTTTTCAAGTATACTTGGTATAATTGTGTCTAATCAATTGTTCTTTTCAATTGTTACCTAAATGCTGCGGCTCTCAGTTTTCGAGCTGTAGACACCCGCTGTGGTCACACAACAAAAAAAAAAAGATAAGGATGTGTGAGCATTGCCCTAATTCAATTGTCAATTCTTCTCTGTTCTTGGTGGCTTAAAAGCACCGTGAACCAATTTTTAGGGTACTTATTTTCTTCAGTGCTACGGCAAGCTTATCTATCAGTGTGTTTAATGGCTAAATGATATTGTAGGAAAAAACTTGAGGCATTTGTAACCAGAATTTTTCTATCTGCGGCGAATATGAACTCGTAGGCACACGTGACAATGGACCATGGCTCAACATAGTCCGCTGGCGGCTGTGAAAGCAGTGCGGCTTCTCGCTTTGCAGTTCCTTTTACCTCGTAAGCAGCACAGAATTGAGCAGGGCTGGACTATAATACCCTTACAACTTTGAGGACTAATAATGATGAACAATACAGCATCAGACTACATGACTACATACAGCAAATTAATCGACTTCACAATCAAGCTTCAAGGCTCTTCTGCTAGGCTGCGTAACATAATGGCTTTTATTTCATAAAAATTGGTTGTAGTATTCGATCCTTCTGTATGCCATTTGTGTCTTCAGGGAGTTTGTCAATGCAGTGTGGCCCATGCCTTCCTGAAAAATGTTTGGCTGATTTATATGGCCTGATGCTGCAGGTTCGGTCTCTGCTGGCAGCAAAGTATCCTTTTGTCCGCTTCACTTTCTTCGCATTGACGACATATTTACTGCAAATAAGTGGACTGAAGAATGGCCACCCCTGTAGCTCAGTGGTAGAGCATCGAGCGGGGTATTCAAAAGTTACAGTTCTGGTCCCTGCCAGCTGCAAGTAGTTTTTAAATTCATTACTTTCTTCACATATACATGATTAAATACCATAAATAACATCTCCTATTGTTTCCTTGTCTGTTAGTTCTAATTAATGTAGTATTTAGCAAAAAAGAAGCATTTAAAATTCTTCTTTTGTTCATTGACGTCCAAGCACTTCGAGCTATGAAAGGCACCGCAGCAGAGGGTCCTGGATAATTGTGAACATTGTATTTTTTAATACGTGCTGGCATCACTCATTACACGCAACCACTTTGACTAGGAGTGGAACTCACATTCAGAAGGCTAGCAGCCAAGCTCAATAACCGTTAAGCCACCACATCGCCTTATTTGCTGGTAAAGAAAGTGATGCCTAGCCACTCATGGTATCATCCTTGTTGCTTTTTTCAAGACATAGGTGTTATTCAGGCATTACCTTATAAGAAAGTCTAAGGAGTCAAAAATGACTTAATGTATGCAATCAAGGCATGCTAATGGCTGTTTTTAAAATATTAAATTGGTTGGTAGGCAAACCTTGTTTTGTTTGTTGTTTTGGAAGGAATGCATCATTGCTTAAACATAAGTTGTCAGGGTGCTCTTGATAAATGTGCTTGTATTCACACCAGTAATAACTAGCAGACTGTGCAGTATTTAAAAGCTTTATACAACCATAGTTGGTATTCATTTGTGTCATACCTAAGAACACCGAGTTTGTTCGAAACTGCGCAGCGTCCAACATTTTCAACAAGACTGTCTCATGCTATGATTTTCTTGGCTCGAAGTCTGACAATCTCTTCTGCAGTGAGGTACTCTGACAGTACTTCATCTGTGTGCTCTCCAAGTAGAGGTGGCGCTGATCGCGCTTTGTTCACGCCATCACTAAACTCCACAGCAGGACCTGCATAATTCACAGTTATAACGTAACCAGATTGATTTCACAAAGCGTGAAGTGATGTCCACATTATTTTACATCTTGGACTATGTTTCTGTGATGTTCAGTCATGATAAGTAAGAATACTCTGAATTCGTGTGTAATCATGATTATATATATATATTGTGAGGTATTGAATTGCAGAAGATACCTGTTTACTTGAGCGTTTATGAACACCTTTGTACTTACTTACTCTGTTTAGCGGGCATGACCATGAAAGATACTTTGACTGTTCCCTCTCATATTGCTCATGTCCATACAACTGTTTGCAGGCACTCCCTTGAGCAGCGTGTGTTTTCTGAATTAGCGCAGCTGCAATGGTAAGCAGGAACGGCATTCCACGATAGGTAACAAAGAACACTGGCCATGCTACCCGGTGCACAAATGCAGCTTCAGATACAAGAGGTTCTATCCAGATAGGCCAGGGGTAATCTTTCATCAAAAGATACGTTAGCTTTAAGCAGCTTCCTGTAGGAGCCCTGCGAAGCTCTTCCCAGGACTAAAAGCTGGTATTCTATGCATTATGCAGCACTTTTAACTGCTGCTTTTGCATTGTGCAATACACAACTATGTTCAATACTTGTGCCTTCAGCACAATGAACATGCACTTTCTATTTTTGTTATTTTCATTTCAATGTAGACCTTCCATGTTTATAATCAGTTGAGTCACTCGGAACATTTAGAATGTGTGGCTTCATACCAGGCCACACAGAAATATGAAATTTTGAAATGGAGTACAGAAGCCTGGCCATCGCACTGACTGCTTACGATTTTTCTCGGCCAACAGAATAGTCGACCATATATAAGTTTTTCGCAGGCTTTGTTTCATCAAGCAAAGGTGGCTCACCGACTAAGGACACCGTGCCAGCAGTCTTGTGTGGAACCTTTACGACCATTTCCTTGCCCTGCAAACGGACAAGTACTAAGTCTCTTGGCACTGCTGCTACGAACCTGCTAGCTCAAAACACACACTCAAAAAGCTGTGCAAGCTCATAATCTGTCAAAATACAGTAGACTCTCGTTTAATGGAACCTGAATGGACCCGGAAAATATGTTCTATTTAACAGGAGTACCATAGTCTGAGAGGTGAGTAGAGCTGAAGAATCGAAGTATTAATCCAACCGTGCGGGAGACAGCTGTTGCAATTAAGGTGCAGTTTCGTTTACCAATTTCCTATTATTGAGTGTCTACTATATGTTAGTATTTAACGTGAATCTTTTTGCTAAATTCAGATGCTTATTGCCAATTCTCGCATCTATGCAGAAGCAGCCATTAGGCTAGTTGTAGTAATTGGTTGTCTATTCAATTAATAAATGGGCAAACACATACATAATTAACAAAGGGAAGGCTGTAATTTTCAATTTTTTGGGGAAATGACTGTTTAGCTCAGAAAATGAGTACAATAAGGACAGGTTAAAAGTAAGACTGGCCATAACAATAGAGAAAAGCGACAGGTTTGCACTTAAGAAATTGGCACTAAATTTTGCCGTTTATATGTTGTGTCCACCTTGGAACTAGTGTACACTGGTGCACTGTTGTTTGCAAACACACCTGAGGATCTTCAAACACTTGCCGAATGGTGTTGATGGGGCCGTATGGTATGCCCGAACCTTCAAAAAGCTGCAGCCACTCTTGTGTCGTCTTCAGTTTAAACCTGCATAATTTTAAAGAGATTTCAGGCACAGCTCCAATGTTGCCATTTCATTGTTGTTAATTCTGGTGTAAGCATCCAAATGCATACTCCGAAGATTTGCCCACAACCAAAAGCTTTAAATTGCATTCTCTTTAGGACAAGACCGCTGCTACAGCTATACTATTTCCCTTCTAATCTATTGTTTTATTCGGGCATTTTTTATAACTAAAATACAGCTGCTTACAAAAGCCGATACTTAGTTGACTAAGAAATGAAAATTTCATGCACTTATATACTTTCTTGACTGCGACCCACCTTTTATTCAGAATTTCAATGAGGACATCCCTGTTTTGGACACGGCTTGGATTATCCTTGAACCGAGGATCAGACAGAAGCTCACTAACATCAAGGACTCTGCAAAAGACCTTGAACTGGCCTTCACTTGCAGCTCCCACTGTGATGTAGCCGTCGAGCGTTTCAAATGCAGCATATGGCACAATGCTTTCGTGACTTGTACCATGGCGGCTGGCTTCAAGGTTAGCGTTTAGGTAGTTGGAAGCTATGTTGGCCAGCACAGACACCTTAGTGAGAAAGAAGCATATAAGACCACGTTTAGTAGTCACATTATTTGTACTTTGTACAAAATGGCTTCATACAATTCCTAGCAGTTGCAGGAAATGTTATACGGGCTTTATGCAGGAGAAGTCCGGCATTGTACACAAGCTTAGTGCCATAAGCCTGTTCTCAATTGGCTGGATAATTTGAACAGAGCTTATTCATAACTGGCCTCTGAGGCTTATTGAAGCCTGCTTTATCAAGCTGCTTCTTTACAATCAATATCACAGCTGAATCACAGTATTAACTATAAGTGAGAGCAGAGAATATGTTGCTTGTTCAAGATAGATATTACTCAAGGCAGCGTACTAAGTTGAACAGGTCAATGTATACCGAAGAAATTCAAATAGTATTTTTCATGTCACTCTGGTGTATTCTGCGTACAGGTTCTGCCAAAAGGCTTTTTGTGCTGCCCTCAAATAATCGAGCGTACTGTTTATTTAAATGTATCTTATATGTAACCTATATATATGTGCAGATTACGTCATGTCTGTATCATGTATAATGTAGAAATATTATATACTAGCAATAAACACGATAGTAGTACAACTAATGAAATGAGAAGCTTGGATAATATATTGCAATGAATGAATAATTAGTCATCATGGATGACTTGATATTTTCCTGTAAATGTTACTTGCTCAAAGGTTTGCATTATGTTGGGATCAGTGACTAGAATTAATGGATGAAAATAAGTTTACAAACAATAGGTTCTTGGACTGTCGGTGAAAAGTCTGCAAGTATATCTATTCAAATATTCCTGTTCATTTATAAGGGGTGGAACATTTAGACAAGTACAAACGTATTGAAATATTCCAAGCTTTTCCCACTTTGTTTTCACATAACACAAGTCAGTATTAGCTTATTTCTCTTGCTCTGTTTACAGCGCAAATCATTTCAAGGGCGCATAAAAGGGAATGCGCAGGCGAAGTTTGGAGTGGGACTCCAGCCCTGCTTCATGTCCATTCATATATTCCAATGGTCTGCCCATTGATTGCTATGGCACGTGCATAGCAAACAGATCAATGAATAGCCACAAATTAGCCTCCTTGAATCTGGCTGATTTGTCTAGAAAAAACATATGGCACGCAAAGGGTACAGAACTAATCGAGAAATGTTTTACCATTATTGCCAACATCTCATCAGCAGGTGCTGAGCTACGTACTTGAGTTGAAAATAAATTGCAGTTAATCCATTGTCCCTTGCCCGTGCGGTTTCGCTGCAGAAGTGCAGCCATGACTGCTCCGTGAGCGTACAGGCCAGTTGCCAAGTCTGTGATTGCCACACCGACTTTACACGGTTCGCCTCCACGTGGTCCTGTGATGTGCAGCAGACCTCCCATCGAGGCAGCTATGACATCATAGCCTGCACGATCTCTGTACGGTCCTTTTTGTCCGTAACCTGTAGTTCGAGTTGGTGTATCAACACTTTTACAGGGAAAGCATCTGCAAGCGTTGATTCAAGCAAAAAGTGACCTGGAGCACTGTTCGCACAGCTTGCAGTAGTTGCTACGGCATACACGTATATACACAAATTTTGTACCACACGCGGTTGTGCACAATGCACTTAACACATAAATCGTAGGCTTTGCTCCTGCGAGCTTAATCAGTTTGGCCCTGCTGGTGTGGCTCAGTTTGACCCACTTCAACATCTTCTCTTAATACACTTTATTTTTTTTGTTTTCATTTCATGAGACTCTAAGTTCTACAATTTATGAACTCATATTAAAAAAAAAAGCATATCTTGCATTGGAGGCACAATGCTAAAGAGACTGCAGAGCTTATGGGCACCTATGTAGTACCGGTTGTTTTTATTTTGCGAGCTTTCTGTTTCATTTTCTCTTTGTTGTTTATGTTTTTTCTTTGTCGGTTTATTTCTATTTTCTTTCTCTCTGTTCCCTATTTTCTGTCTTTGTACATCATTCCCTGTGTTTTTTGCGCCCTCTTTGTCTCGGTCTCTCCTCATTTGATTCTCTCTCCATCTTTCTTTCTCTCATACTTTTTTCCCTCCAATCTCTCCTCACCCTCACCTCCTTTTCCTACCCCTTGCTGTACTTTACTATACAACACTACGCCATGTTCTGCTAGCATGCCTGGATAGCCGAGAGTCCAAGATGCTCCCCACCGGATCGTGGATACGCAGGTTCGAATATCACCTCATGAAGAGATTTTTTTTCCTTAAAATATCTCTCATTCTTTTTTTTTTGTACTCATCTCGTCCATCAGAGTTATTGCATTCCTCTCCACAGGAGTCACCACTTGTTCTGTAAGCGAAACAGAAGGCGAAGACGGTGCTGCGGTTCTTGGCCAATCCCCCACTCTGGGTGTGCACCACAGTTAATAGGGGAACAAGAACAAGGACTAAGGGAGCACATGCCAGTGCATGATTGTGATCATTTTCTGTCTGTGGCTCACTGGCTAACGACTGCTACTTAACATGTGTGCTGACTATTTTCTCAAACACCCACACGTAGTAATTCTTTCTGTGAACAGTGCCTACTTAAATGAATTGTCGTAATTAGAAAAGCAGTACCATGAGAAAAACTTTGACATATGACATAATTCTGTAGTACACTGTAGTGCTTCAGGGTATTGGAAGTGATGACTGTATGTGTATCGTAGTGCTTGTGCATTTATGTAGTCTTACTTGGTATTATACTGTTAGCATGGTGGTGCCTCTATAAACACTAGTCCAGTGCGTGATAACCTCTCGCCTAGTCTGACAGAATGATGGTGGAAAAGAAGGCAGCGACTGACCAATGTTGAAAAAGTTGTTTTAAAAATTAACGTTTTGGTGCCCATGTGGGAGCGTTGTTCCTAACAAAAATCTAATAGTGATACTCAGATTTAGAAATAAAAGGAGAATTATAGGGGCTCATTTTTTTTTGTTAGACACAACCTTAATGAGAACCTAGACACACATGGTTTTGCAAAGAATCATCACATTGGTTGGTACAGCGTTTTGGTTTTCCTCACTAACTAATGGTTTAGGAGTAGAACTCGAGAAGCGAGGTAAAAAATAATGCATAAAGTCTGGCTTGCACATCACAAGTTTACACTTTGTAGTACTGTTCATGACTGCCAAAGTTTTAACAGAGGCGTGGCTACTTTTTGTCATGCTAGCGGTCCTGTCACATGGCAGACGTAGCAACAGCACACATTATCCATAAGCCACCCAGATATCTAAGCAGAATGCTGTGGTGTATGTCCTTCACAGTTTGGATCATCCGAGATCCAATACTGGGAATAAGCATTATTGTAGTTGGTGCTCAGTGGACTTGGATGAAAATTTCGAATGTCAGGTTTAGGATACAAACAATCACACTGCTCTCTTTTTTATGGTGTCTTTCTTTTTTAATTACTTTGGCTGTATGCTTGCGGATTTTAAGCTAAACTGCTGCTATTATTTAAATAAATTGCTGCAATGCACCTGAGACATTGATTCACCGATATCTATGAGTGACAGGAAGCATTCTCTACACATACCGGTTATGGAGCAGTAGATAATCTGAGGAGCGACAGCCCTAATATCTTTGTATCCGAGACCAAGGGAATCCAGTTTTCCAGGAAGATAGTTTTCTAGCAGCACATCAGAGGTTCCAGCAATCTGTATTAAAAGTTACCAGTGTTCAAATGTGTGCTCGATGCTCCTAATGTAACGCTTACCTTCTTTATCAGACTAACGCCTTCGACGCTTTTCAAGTCAACGGCTACGCTCTGAAAAGTGAAATCGAAGGAGAAATCACTGTTATTCACGATGGGAGAAAGAGAGCACGAAGTGTGCGTAGAATGAACCTTTTTGTTTCTGTTTACTGACAGAAAATAGCAGCTTTGATCTTCAAGAAAAGGCGGTCCCCAATTTCGTGTTTCGTCTCCGACACCTGCAGCACAGCAAATAATCCACTATTCACAAAAAGAAGCAATTGGTAATATATTACTCAAAAGAGCAGAGTGTCATTCTTACCTGGTCTTTCGATTTTGATGATCTCGGCACCCAAGTCACCAAGAATCATGGAACAGTACGGGCCCGCCAATATCCTGGAAACAGTTGAACGCATGACCACACCCAGCTTTATAACCGATACAATACGTAGCAGGAGATTTCGGGCATGCGAAATTTTTTTTTTCCTCCTCACCTAGTTAGGTCGAGCACCCGAATTCCTTTCAACGGGTCTTCAGGTCGGCACGTTGAGGGTGCTGCGTAAAGCTATGCAATCAGGAATATACGTGCTAGCACTCAAGAAACAATTTACAGTGTTCAAGCCGAGGTTTACCTTGTACTGAACTGGAAGTGTGCTCGCCATGTACGCCGTGGAAAGTTTTTGGCGATACACGTATGCCAGATTTAAACCTACGCGTTAATGCGGTGAATGACATTGTAGTTTTACTCTAGCACCGCCGCACGCCAGTACGCTGTTTTTATTGCCGAAACACGGAGGGGACAAAGAGATGAAACAGCTGTAAAGTCTGCCAATGACTCGCACTCTACTGATAGCAGACGCAAACTGTCGCCTGCTGTTGCCGTGATGCGTGCCGCGATGGGACTAATGATAGTCGAAATCAAGCTACTGACAGCACCGAGAGTCAAAGAAAAATCAGCTTTTGAAGCGTGAGCCTCAACGCGGACAAGTATAAAAAGATGGAATATTTCAAACTTGCTTATATATGTTCACATTGGCACAAACGCGAGTGAAGGAGCCAGAAATAAGTTACTTATATTACCGCTAGTGGCGCAGTAGGTAATGGGACTCGGTGAGAGAGAAGGCGCAAGAGGAGAGCAGCCGGATCGGGCATCGCGCGCTCCGCCAGCAACGCGGTTTATTAAAGTTTGCACGCTGGCGGGCAGGAGTGGCAGGCCCCGCGTGCGAAAGTTGAAACTACCGAAGGCCTGCGGGTTGTGGGCGTGGGGCGGTGTATGTGCTTTACGCGGAACGTAACAAGCTTTCGGACGTCGCTGCGTCTTTCAAGACTGATCGGACCATGTATTTACTCATAACAGTGGTGGGCTTGTTAGCCAGTGTGCGTGCTTTCAACTTGGAACCGAGGCTACCTCTTCTGAAGCAGGGGACCAAGGGCAGCTACTTTGGATACTCCGTCTCCGAACATCAGACTGTCGAAAACGGCGTGACCATCGAAAGCCTGTAAGTGGAGAGCGTGTTTTTTCTTTTAACGTGCGCTTGTCTTCTGGCAAAGAACAGTGCGCCCGCGTGGGGCTCTCCGAGCATTCCGAAAGTTCGTTGCGGGACGTTTCGCGGTTTGGATGCGGGATGTCTTCGCCGATCGATGACCGGAGTCCGAAACTCCTCATCGTGCGCTCACCTGCGCCTAGCGTTTATCCGACGGAGGAAACTCGGAATGAGTTGTAGTACGTGCACTGCGGCGCACTTATGCTATGCATGTTTACGCTCCGGCGTGTATTACCGTTCTCCTTGGCGTTGTAGCTAGGGTCACGCTCAGTTGCTTCGCCGTTGCTGCAGTGGCTGTGCTATTTCAAAAAGCTCCCACGGGTGGTTATGGTGGGCCCTGCCGAGAAGCATTCGGTGTGTCGGAGAAGCGGCGTGGGCTTAGCGAAGCACTCGTTCCGCATCTCCGCTGCTGCAAGACGTGTGGGCGCGCGCCGGTCTGCGCGTTTCTTTTCCTCCCGCTGCCCAAACTTGGAGCTCGCCGAATATAAGATCAACAAAGTGTGCTTCACCAGCGGAGGCGCGGTCGCCAACGGAGTCGTCGCCTATTTCATTCTGGTTCGCTTCGCAACGCAAGCCGCGCTTATGCGCGATGGCTACTCGCACAACACCTGTGATCTGAAACACGGCGTGTGTTGCGCCCCAGCAGCTTACGGCTGCTGTGCACGTTAACACGGGCTTTCGACGATCTGCGAATGTCCCTAACCGAAAATGTACTACAACAGCATTAACTTGCGCTCCTAGTTGTGCTACGTGTATTCCACGCGTTCCCTTGAGGCCGGGTTCGGACTGTGTCAATCTGCGGCGCGGCGGCCACCTGTGGAGCGCGCGTCGGGCTGGAATACAAACCTTTTTCAGCAGATTCACCGGAGAATACCTGAAGAAAGGTCGCGGTTCGGCCACTCCCTCGTGTACTGCATTGTTGTGCACGTGTGTGTGATAAAGGGCGTCGTCTTTCCTCTCGCTCGAGGAGCGAACGAGGGGCCCCGCTTCTCCACAGGGGTTCCCTCGTTCCTACCTTGTTTGGCCGCCGCAACAAGTGCCGCTGACCTTGGGAATTCGTGCATTGGTTGCTGCTCTCCCCTTCGAATCAAAACATTCGCATGAAAAACGGCGCGCGCGGAACAAGAACTTCGCCAAAGATTATATGGGCGCCTTTCCTGCAAGCGGACCCGTCACATCGTCCGGCAGAACTCGTGTTCTGGTTATTATCGATACTGCGATGCAAACTTTTTTTTTCTATCTTCCACGTTTCGACTGAAATCGTTGGATGAACACCTTGACGGTCGTCGCATGTGCGGAAAGGCTAATGCGCACGTCGATTAACGTCGCGAAACAAAATATTTATTGTCGTGTTCTCCACTGCAGCTTTCGTTTATTTTCTTCGACATGCACCATTATTGTTTTGCAGCGTTCGAAGTGCCGATACTCAGAAAAAAAAAAAAAAACACGCATCTCCGCGAAGTGAATCATGATTGGGTGGATAGTTAAATCACCCGCCCACTCTTGCATGTAAATGAGCGACGATACATGTCTATAGCATGTACAATATTAAATTGGTCCTCAGTCGTATGTCGTGTTGAGTTCTGCATGCTGTTTTGCCTCCATTATTACTGGCTCGTGGACCGCGAAATGTGGAGCTAATGGTTCTTCGATGGGATCTAGCCTGGCTGGAAGTGCCGGCACAGAGAAACATCGTTTCGACTGCTACAAGGTAACAATTGCGGAATGGACGCTTTCAGAACACGCAACGGTCAGTAAGATCGATAAGTATTCGTTCTCGGTCAGTGCGTACACTTAAGAAACGACTTTTATTAACGTCAGTTTGTCATCTTAACTTTCCTCTGAGATTTCGCTGTGCCCAAATAAGTGCGTAATTCATCTCTCGATCAGTGACCTTGCCGATTCATTTCGTACATTTCTTCGTTCGTCTTACTCAGCATAACATCACTCTATCAATGACTGCCTAATTTTCAGCGCATGTTTGTTATAAATGGCCAGTGCTTAAACCTTAAGGACAATTATCACGTGACATAAATGCGTTTCAAAGTTAGACATGTTTCTCAGCCGCCTAAGCCGTGCGCTTTATTTGACTCATTTCTCGTTCAGACGACTCGGCCTCCAAAACTCTCACCAAACGAACCTCATAAAAACCTTCGAATCACTTCAGTACCGAGGTGTCATCTTCCAAGATTACCCTTACTAAGCTTCACTGCTAAAAAATTACGTACTGTTTTCCCAGATCGGCTCAGTGGTGTCGCGATGCGACGATGGTTGCGTTTTCCGATTGTGCCATCTGTGACCATTATTATAACAGCAGCCCTGCAAAAATTGGAACGGCCCTTCTCGGCAACACTTTGCACCGCTTCATCACTGCAAAGTTCAAAGAAGTCGTAAAAAGCAATAGGTAAGTCCATCCCCCTCGTGAATGTCAGCTTCATTGAAAGGAAAGGATTACTCTTGGCCGCTGTTAGGGATGACGTGGGGTGAGGGATTTAAAGGGTGATGATGAGCAACTTTATGGCACGCTTTCGTGCGAGTCAGGTGACCTAGCTCGCCTTACACCACTCGAAACAGGTCGACTACCGTATATTGTGAGAGCTTTCTGTGTTTAATGGTCGGACTTCGATTATAAATTCCGTAGAGGGGTCATGTCGGCGTGCAGCAGGTGTTGAGTGTGCTCTCTGCCTTTTGAAAATGCGGAGGCACGTGCGATGTTCCAAATCTGCTCGGCGCAGTGTCTGACATCGCGTATGAGTATTTTCACTTGAATCAGCCTTTGATCGAGCTAATGTAAATGAGTCTTCCAACCGCATGCTCGGATATTTGCGACGAAACTTTTCTTCTGTACCCATGTCAGTGAAACTAAACCTTTACAAAACGTTAGTACGCTCTAAACTGGAATACGCATGCGCCATCTGGGATCCCGGTCAAGTAACCCTAACTCTCACTCTAGAAGCCGTCCAAAACCGCGTAGCCCGTTTCATTTTGTGCAATTATTCACGTCATGCCAGCGTCACAACCATGAAAAAAAAAAAAAACCTGAACCTAACCGACTTATCGTTCCGTCGAAAATGCTCTCGCCTTTCTCTTTTTCATAAAATTTATCATTACAATCCATCTTTAAAAGAGAGCCTTCTCTCTTCCCCCTCTTACATTTCACCTCGTTTCGATCATTGCTTCAAAGTAGGTGTGCCATTTTGCCGAACAAACCACTACAGCGATTCCTTCATTCCCAGATCAAGCAAAGACTGGAACTGCCTTTCCGCTGCCACCGCATCTCTCATCGACCCTGCAAACTTCTAACTCTCCATTCTGCAGCAATTGTAACATTTCGCTTACTTTTTGTTGTATAACCCCCACTCCTTTCTGTAAAGCCTTCGGGCATGGAAAGTATTCAAATAAATAAATCATTATTGGGTGGGTGATAGGAAAGTCGAGAAGCAAGCTCATTGAGTTACTGTGTATTGACGATAGCGCAGTGTGGTGCTAGCTTGCTATTCAGCCACGGATAAGCACTCATAATACGAGATTGTGAAAATAAACGAATCTTAGCGAATACAGGAAAACGTATACGTTTCGCAGTGTTCGTAGGGCACAGCTGCACCCTGTTGAAGACCGTATCTGAAATACTCGGATTCGACGCAAGCAATTGCGCTTATATAACGTCAAACCGGGGTATATCAGTTTGTGTAATAATTTCCTGCGTTAACCGTTCATTTGAACGCCGCAGAATTTCCGCAGCACACGTAGTTGTTTTGGCTAGCGACGTGCGGCTCACGAAAGCTCTCCCTGCAACCGTATCTCGTAACCGCCCTCACGACCGACCTAAAGCTGCTCAGCTAGCTATCCTTATGAATGTCTCTAAAAAGCATCACAAAGCCGAGGTAGGAGGAGGAGAAAAAGCTTTATTGAAACAGAAGTTTGGAGCGCGCAGGCTCCCGGGGACCCGCACGATACCGGTGCGCTAAAGCGTTCACTTAGCGGTGGTTATGACTTGCAGCCCGGTTGGTAGCCTTTGTCTTCTCTACCGGGTCCTCTAAACGCAGCAGGGTTTCCCAGGTCTTAAGACGCTCGAAGGCTCGCGAGGGAGGATCCGCCGTGCAGTAGGAAAGGATAGCAGAAGCACGAGGTTCGGGGCAGAGAGTATAGGCTGAGGCGTGGAAAAGGGGGTGATAGTGCAGGCGAGTCTCGCCGTGATAAGCTGTTGCAGGCACGAGTATTGAGGGAAATCGCGGTTTAAGGATTGTTAGACAACGGCACATTAACGCAAGAGGTGTGTGTGTTTGAGCACGCGCGGGGGAAAAAAAACAACAAAAAAGATCATCTCTTTCTTCTGGTGCAAGTTTCCTTCATGGTTCCCCTTCTCTCTTGTTAAGGTCATTAGGACCTGTGTCACGTTGGGTTCCTAAAATTCGCGAAATATGACAACAGTAATGTAGTGCACTGGCCGTTAGGTGTGGAACGCGCTATAAGTATGCGGCTAATTTGATGGAAGAGCTGAATATCTCGCCGTGGGCCGTGGGAAAGCACGTGGTTCTAGCCCACGTAGATGATTGCAATGACCGTGAAGACACGAGTGCGTTCATCTCGCCGCCATGAAAGTAGCTGACGGCATGATGCCGCTCGTTTTGGCTCGCCACTAAATTGACGCCCATAGTAGGGCGACACTCGGTCATTCCGCGAATCTTGATTCGTTTGCGCAGCACCAAGGTCGGGCGTATGGAAGGAGTTCCCAGCGTGGCGCGCGTTCAAAATATGATTGATTGATATGTGGGGCTTAACATATGATTATGAGAGACGCCGTAGTGGAGAGCTCCAGAAATTTCGACCACCTGGGGTTCTTTAACGTGCACCCGAATCTGAGCACACGGGCCTACAGCATTTCCGCCTTCATCGGAAATGCAGCCGCCGCAGCCGGGATTTGAGCCCGCGACCTGCGGGTCAGCAGCCGAGTA